GCTCCAGGATGAAGTGGTGGCCCGAGGAGTGCTGCCCTATGTGGACGATCTCCTGGTGGACGAAGAAATCGTCAGCGCGGACCACGTGGTGGAGCACTTCGCCCGGTACGGCCTGGACTGCAAGCCGCCGGAGCGGGCGGCGGAGGGAGCACGGCTGCTCGGACTGCGGGTGAGTGCGGTCGCTGGAGAGCTGTGCTGGCGTCGTGACAACCCAGTGCCGGCGCCCCCGGAAGTGCTGACGCGTCGGGCTGTGTTTGCTTGGTGTGGTCAGCTGGTGTCCCATCTGCCAGTGGTGGGATGGCTGCGACCAGCGGCCGCGTGGCTCAAACGGCGCGTCAATGCTCTAACAGCAGGATGGGACGACCCAACAGAGGACGTGGGGCTGCGCGGGCAGGTCGATCATGTCGTGACCCGACTGAACGACAGTGACCCGGCTCGAGGCCCATGGCGGCTGAAGGGGGGCAAGTTGGTGGTCTGGACGGACGCTAGCTCTATCGCGGCCGGCGTCGTCCTGGAGGACCCCGAGGGTGGCGTCGTGGAGGATGCGAGCTGGCTGCGGCCTGAGTCGAAGGCGGCGATGCACATAAACATGGCTGAACTGGACGCGGCGCTCAGCGGCGTGAACATGGCAATCGCCTGGGGCATCACCATCATCGATCTCTGCACGGACTCGGCTACGGTCCACAAATGGATCGATGACGCCCTGACCGGCCGCTCGCGCCTGCGGACGAAGGCACACGGGGAAATGCTCATCCGCCGGAGGATCGACGTCATCCGTCAGCTGGTGGAGGAGTTCAACCTGAGGCTGACAGTCGTCCTGGTGAAGTCCGCAGACAACCTGGCGGATGCACTGACCCGTGTGCCAAAGGAGTGGCTCCAAACACCGGACCCAGAGCCTGCCGCACGGCCGGTGGCTGCCGCGGCAATCGCGGACCCACGGCCGGATGTCGACCCCGCACGGATACGCGCAGTGCACGAAAGTACTGGACATCAGGGAGTCCGTCGGACCCTCTGGTACGTGCGGCGGAATGAAGACGCCCGTGCCACCCGGTCGGCAGTGCGCGCCGTGATCCAACAGTGTGATGTGTGCCAGTCCATTGACCCAGCACCGGTACGTTGGCAGCAAGGGTCACTGAGTGTGCCGCTGACGTGGGAACGGCTGGCGATCGACGTTACGCACTACCGGGAACGGTCCTATCTGACTGTTATTGATTGTGGACCATCCCGGTATGGAATTTGGCGACTACTGCGCCGGTCAGATGCGGCTGAGGTGACGAACCAGCTGGAAAACATCTTCCTGGAAAGAGGCGCGCCCGCAGAGCTTCTGCTGGACAACGCCACGGAGTTCCGCAGTCGTCGGATGGCGGCATTCGCCGCGCGGTGGGGCGTCCGGCTGCGCTTCCGGGCGGTGCACGAGGCGGGCGGCAACGGCATCGTCGAGCGCCACCATCGGACAGTCAAGGTGATGGCAGCCCGACAAGGCTGTACAATCGGGGAAGCAGTGCACCGCTATAACGCCACGCCTCGTGACGGGATGCATCCTAGCAGCGCTCCTGCAGCAGGTGTCTTCCAGCGCGCTGGCCACGACCTCCCGCTGAACATCGACGAACCCGGCCGAGCGGTGTCCAAAGTGGACGATGGCGTCCAGAGTGCACGCAAAGCGTTCCGGGTCGGTGACGCTGTGTGGATACGCCGCCGAGGTCAGCCGACGCGGTGCACGGACGTGTCGCGGCGGGGCGTGGTGACCCGACTGTTACCGGCACCACTGGTGGAGGTGGATGGTGCCCCGTGGCATGTGCGCTGCGTCCGACGACGGTTCGAGGAGGTTGGCGACACAGACAGTATGAGTGACTGTGAGTCCGAACCTGAAGACTGCCTATCAGAGATCAGGACGCTGCGGCTGCACGAGAAGCCGTCCGGTTCGGTGTCGGGGACGGGACAGGACACTGACCCCCCGCCTCCCGAGCCGCCCGATACGGGAGCACCGGTGGAGACGAGTGAAGATGCAGCTGACGTTCCGAGTGAGACGTTCAGCGGTGCACGGGAGGACGCTCAGAGTGAGGTTAAGCCCAACGAGAACAGAATGGCCAAACCGTACTGCGGCGTAGTACACGTGTGAGAAGAGCCCCGGAAGAGCTGTATGGACAGAGTGTGCCAAGCGAGTGTATCGATGTTGATGATGAATAATGATGATGATTACTGATAATCAGGTGGAGGTGTAGTCAGCGGTCATGAGTTGAGTGAATGACATGATGTGTGATGTAGCATGATGGACACAATAGGGAATGTGAGTAGCGTATGAGTCAGGCGCGCGGCGAGACTGAGCTGCGGGACGTGACCCGGTGACCCAGTGTGAGTCATCCGCCGCCGCCGCCGGACGTCGGGGCGGCCGGGTTACGCCCCCTGATCAGTTGCACAGGGGATGACGTATGACAATGTGATTGGCTAATGATGATGCGCGATGACGTGTGCGTGAGAGCTATGGTCTGGTTGGGAGTGTGATTGCTGGGCAGTTGGCTGAGAGGCTCGGAGGAGAGCGGAATATAGCTTTCTTGGTTACGTGGAAGCAGGAGTTCTAAATCCCTACAAACGGTCAGTTGGGTTTTATTTCATTTCCGAGACCGACTCCGGCCCAAAGTTCCATTTACAGCAGCTGAGCCAGAAAAATATTGAAACATCATTTTGCTGAAACTACCCGGTCTGCAGTCCGATTTTAAAGTCGAGTTTAGCCCTCTGCTCTGGCCGAGCCCATGAGCGTAATTTGTCTTCCCGGCCGCGCGGGGCTACTCTAACGACCGTTTAAGCAGGTAGCTTCCGACCAACTCCTGCCGGCCGGGGCGGCGCGGCCGGCCAGCTATATATGCGTCTGGGGCGGGCGCTGCTCGGCGGCGCGCTCCTGCACCGATTGCCTTTGATGGGTGTCAGCGGGGCTATTTTTCGCCGCAGCTCGCCGGCCGCCGACCACCGCTATCGACCGGACGACGGCGCGGCGCGGAGCGGCCGGCTCACGGCGGCGCCGCACGCACGCGCCGGCACGGCCGGACGACGGTCAGCGGCGGGAGGTGGCCTGCACAGTGCACACTGGCCTCTGCACTCGGCCCGCTCCCAGCCCCACGGCAGGGACGGCGAGGTCGCGCGGAGGCCGCCAGCGACAGCGTGGTGACGGGACCGGCACGCGCTGCCGCCGCCGCCGGCAACTCGATGACACTGTGATGGTGGCCGTGACAGCGGTCCGTGACGAGGTGGTGACAGCGCGACGATGACAGCGGCTGGGGCGTGACTGTCCACTGGTCGGAGCGCCGCGCTGACAACGCTCCCTCTCATCCTCCACCACCTCCCAGCCTCCATCCGCTCACCGCCCATCGCAGACAAATTGAGCCGGCAGTCCACCCTTCAGACGGCGGAGCCGCGGATTTGCTGACGCCACCACGGGAGCCGAACCGCCGTCAGCCGAAATCAAATGAATTGATCATGCAGCCCGTTCGGGCGTCGCGCTGCTGCTCCGCGCGTTCCCCGTCCACCGGTCTCGTTCGTTCCGTCCTGTGCCCGTCCTGATATAAAATGCAGTGTCGTTACACCGTTTCTGCTGTTCTGCAGCGGACGAGTGTCGGTGTTCGGAGGACGATGGTATAATTTTCCGGCGGGGACGGCGCGCTCTGCGGACCGCCGATGGACAGAGTCCGGCCGGCAGACGCCCGCAGCCGACCCCCGACTGCAGACGGACGCGCACTCGATAAATCATCACCGCCGCACGCCTCCCCATTAGCATACACTGCATCATGCTTGTTATGCAGACGCGGTGCTTAGACGGGCATTGTGCAGAAGACGACTTTCAATGAATCTATAAGTCGGTCTACCACCGGCACTCGGAGGGCTTTGATGTGCGTCGGGCCGGACCGCCTCCTCGCCGGCTGAATGGCGATCGGTTTTCGGCGCAGCAGTCGTTAGACGTGGTAATAGGTGGGTACAAAGCGACGCCAATCGACTCGTGCAAATCATACTGACTGCAGAACCGGCCCTAACGGCGGACGATTAGGTACCACATGGCCGTTTATAGCATGATAAGTATATTGGACTAACGGACGAGATGAATATCGCTACTTTGAAAGAACACGAATGTGAAATTCCACTGATAGGGTGAACGGTAAGGCGGGGTCCTCATTCCCCCGCCTGCACGAATGGTTAAGAGAAAAATACGATGCCGGGTTCTCCGAAAAAAGGACTAGGCCCGGAAACGGAGAAGGTAACAGGTGGCCAAATGGTAGCGTGCCAAGTGACTACATGGATGGGGTTATTGCCATGGGATTATTGGAGAGATTAGGTATGCCGTTAGAAGCCTTCAAGCGCCGCGAGGTATTAAAAATGTACACAGTAAAAAGCTAAAATCAGTGACAAAGATGCATGACATGTTTTGTCGATTAGCGTAATTGTTTTTCAATAAAAATGTGAACAAAGTTGCCATTGCTTTTGCTCTGATGCCAAAAGCGTGTATGAAAACGGTCTACGTAAATGCAAAGCTGGCAGAAGATGAGTCGCCTGTGAAAATCACGCAGCCTCATCAGCGTTAGCGCGTGAGTGTACATTTCCATCGCTAGATGTCACTAGTATCAAACGCCTGAAGATATGCTGTTCCGCAATACACGCTCACGGTAGGCAGTTACTCGGAGTAGGCGCGCGCCATTTAGTGAATGAGCCGCTTGTTGACAATGCTCGACATTCAGAAACCGACCTGAACATGATCAGATATCGGACTATGTCCTGGCTGCTAGCATTCAATTGCACCATTACAGGCATTCCAGAAATACCGTATGACAATTGACGTATAACGTGTAACGACCCGGTAAGTTTAGTAAGGCTGCTGGAAAGTCAACAGCGCGCCGGAGGACACGAAATAAGACCTGAAGCGTATGTACTGTTTGCAGTGTGTTTCAACTATGTACTCCCGCCATGATGCCGCTCCCCCTCGGGCATCCCCTCCCCCAATTCTGGGTCTCACTCACCTGCTATCTGCAGCGTGGCGTTTCGGCTGCGCGCTTCGCCGTGCCGGTTGGCCGCCACACACCAGTAGACTCCAGCATCATCCTCTTTGCGCACCTCCACAAAGTAGAGCGTGTTGCCGTGCAGGAAGAACCTCTCGGGTCCCTCGCCGGGTACCAGCGGGCGGCCATCTTTGAACCAGCTGACGATCGGGGTGGGCTCGCCCTCGGCTTTGCAGTGTAAGGTCACCGGCTGACCGCGCACCACCAGCTCACTGTTGGGCTGCTCGGTGATACGAGGTGCGGCGCCGTCACCTGCCGCAGGTCAGGGCGCCGGGTCAGTGGGGAGCCGGGCGCACTGTGGGGTCTCTTTAGGCTGCCAAGGTCACCAAATGGCAATGCAACACTTACGGGTAGGTATGTGCTCCGTGAGTTGGACACGAAAAAAAAAACACGAATTAAGGCGTATAGCAGTGCAGCAATAAAATGCTGAACCATCACACCTCATTAATCCAATGATAACGAATGAAGTCCTGCGCTTAATCCAGCAGGACCACTGTTCATGCTTCGTACCAGCTCGTCCTTCCTGGGTTTGAAAAAAAAAGACTGGCCGAGTTAAGTCATACCCAAATAAGTCCTGGAGCATATGAAATGGAGCCCGACACCACGCTCGCGGTTTAAAAATTGTGGCCTTACAGGGTGTCTCACAAGTTCGTTCACACATTTCCCATGCCAATAAAGCATATAAGAACCGGCCAAAAGTATAAGGTTTTGGTGTCTGTGTGTACACTAGACAAATATGCATGCTTTGACAACTGATTAAGAAGGTTGGAAACCAACTTCTTTGCTGTATCCCCAAAAATATTTGCCCATACCGATTTTTGTTGCTCCGTCAGCTGCCGGAGGCTGATAAAAGGTTACCAGCTTTCAAGCTCTTGCAGGGGAATCCCCTGCAGTTTCTGCGTCGGATTTAGTTTTGACTAGCTCCCCGGCAACATCTGATTTTCCCTGAAAGCCGACAGCTTGCATCGACACCATTCTTGAGTATTTTGTAGGCATTCTCTGGCGCTAACTCCTTCATGAATGACTGGCGCCGACATCCCAAGCGCCATTTTCCTTTTCAAAACGACCCCAGTCCTGAACAAACGGGAAGTACCAGGAGTAGGTTTTTCGCATCATATGGTAGCAGAATGTGTCGGACGTCTGTTTCTCACACACATTGTGCAAATTTTGCAAATTTCAAGCGCTCGTCATTCCCCATGCCAAGACCTTCGCTCGGTTGCGGAGTGTTTTCCTCGGGAGATGTTCTGCTTTGTAAACGGCCCAAACCTGTCCATCGTGTGGTTTTATCGGGATTTTGTGTTTAAAAGAAAATTATTCGTTGCAGATCTGCCTCTTGAAACTTCGTTAGATAAAATTTTACAATAACTGAGACTTTTGGAGGGTCAGGTGTCCTTGGCATTGACGATTTTTGTGTTATTGTCCCCAAAAATTAGCGTTATGGATATTATAAACAATTTTAAATTATAATTTGTCTTTATTTTACGATGACCTGCACTTTTTGAAAATGGGTAACCTCTGTCTGTGACCTTCTTGCCAGTTTTCAATAGTTATGACCGCATTTTCAGCTGCCTTCCGGAACACGAGTCTGCTGTCGTGCGAGGGTCGTTCAAAACGCCGTTAGTCTCGCATGGTTTCGTCCTTCAAAAATTTTAGCCACCGTTTTTATGAGATGATCATCATGTTGCACTCATCCTCGCCGACACTTAGCCATGTGTCATTTCCGACTTAACCATTCCCATTACTCCTGAAACCGAGAGTTTCACAACATACCCGACTTTGCAACCTACATTTTCGTGGCTGACCCATGGTCAGAGGTGAACCCTTTTTGTGAGCTCATGAAGGGTCGAATGCACTTGAAAACAATGGGACTGCTTGAGGAAGGTTGTCACCAATGCCCATGCAAAATTTCGACCGTTAATTTCTTGTTGATTCAGAATTATTGACAAAAAAGCATGGCTGGTACCTGTGAACGAACTTTTGAGACACCCTGTAGTACGAGTTTAATAAGCTTGGTGACGTTATCTAGGCCCCGGCACGACGCTAATTTCCGACATAAATTTACGTCAAATCACTTTTATCTTGACATTCGTGCACTTAAATAGTCATTAAGCATGGGCAACACCCAAAAGCTTTCAGATCAGAACTTGTCATTCTATGAAAACCATTTTGATCAACAAATTGGGGTCAACCGTATGCGTCCATTAGGTACCTAGTGTCTGCAACGACAGTTCTTCCATATCCATCGTTCTTTGCATGGAATACGTAAAATGATCCAACATTAGGGGCATTTATGGGTGTAATTGAAGACAAAAAAGCAAAGAATGCATGTTCTAGCTAGCCGCCCAGCCATTGTCTTTAGCTGGACTGTACGCATAATTGCTGTTTTATGGCTGATCGTCGTTGATAGCTTGGGTGTTTCCGCCCAAATAATGCTCGGTGCAGATCTGATGTATCCCACGCGTCTCACGTCTGGCCCACGCCAGCACACCAACGCATTTCAACATGGCCATTGGTGGTAGGGATGTCTCACGCTTGTGATAGACGATAGACAGCACTTACGTAAGAATTGGCTCATGCCAATTGTCATTGACGGATATGGGATCTCATTCAGTTGCATGTGCAATTCTAGTAGCAAATGAATGTGATTGTCATGGTAAGGTATAAGGATCATAATAAAAGCCTTTTGACTAAAATGACCGGTCACGAGACAGTCATCCCAGTCAGCAGAAACGACAGAAATTAACGTAATATATCACAATGTAGTGTAACTAATGTGCGCCACCGAGGCATAGGTTATTTAAATAATACTTCTGCAAGTCTCTGTAGAAAAGTTACAACGAAAAAGCCCTTGATCTTCCTCATTGAGGCAAACCTCGGTCAACCTGATAAATCACCTGGCGTTGTCTTCCCAAACCGTAATCACCACCTTTAGTACATACTGCTGTAAGAATTACATCCAGAATTGGCCATACCAGTCATCCATATGAGCGTTATGAGCAATAAGCGTCCACAGGTCGCGCTACGGGAGGTAGGGGTCAAGTGTTTCCAAACGAACCGCGCTCACACGAGCACCCACTCGTGACCGCCGAGCATGACTTTCAAACGGGACGACCCCGCTACCGGTGGTCCGCTCCCTGATGGCTTCTTCTGCATGTCGCGGGCCGAGGAGTGGCCTGGTGGAACCGGCCGGACCCGTGATCATCGAGTTAGCTCGTTTCCTGGTATGGCGGCTCGCGTGCCGGCCGCCCGTCTGCGGCGGCGCTGCACGCTGGTCCGTGTACCGACAGACGCGCGCGGCAACTCCACCCGCCTGGAAATGGGTCCGTGAACCCGCCGGCCGGCGCGGCGGTGTGAAAACCAGCGGCGGCGCGTTATACATCCGGCCGACGGCCTGTGATCTGTGCCGGCCAGAGGTTTGAGGCTCTCGTAATGTTCGCGAGCCGTTGCAGAAAGCTGGCACAAATTCGTGATTCCGATGGGAACTTGATGGTGGTTTTGGATCTCGGTTACACTACATCGCACTATGGTTGGAAACGGCCTCACGGATGGCCGTGGGCAATTTCGGAATATATGTATATTTGGGGTGTCATTCTGTTGGAAATTGATGAAATGTTTTGAATTGGGCAGCAAAAATTATTTAGTTGCGCATTTAGTCTCCATTATTGTACGTGGAATCGGGAGTTTCTGATAGTGACTTTTTTCGTGCGCCGTCAAAGGTTTAAACAACCGCGCTGTTGATAGCATGTGGAGTACCTCCATGACGTTGTAAAACTGGATTATTATATATCAAAATAATCCTTGTTATGTTGGCTATCGAGTGGAGTGACTCTTTTTCCCATGCGTGTTTAAAATCAGGAACGGCATTGCATTCTGTTTGCAGTGTCACCACAGCAATATTTGCAAAATTACGTTTATGTTTCATTGGACATACAAAAAGTTCTCCATCGACCTCCATTGAGCTTTTTGGCAGAATAAATCTCTGTTCAATTCTGCGTAAGTGGAACGTAAAAGCAGACTGCGCACTTGTGCGCAAAATCGTCCATGAAGCTTCATCTCCCGAGGCGTACCTACCCGTCGCTTCGTTAGCACCAGGTCGGCTCGTCAGTCTTGCAATCGCTTATCCTTATAAATGATGGTAAGAAGCAGGGTTGCGGAGTCGTGGTGGCGCCAAATCCGACTCCGACTACGACTCCGACTCCTGACTCGTTGCCATGACTCCGGCCGACTCTGTCTCCGACTCCGGACCCCTGCCAGTGTTTCGGAGTCGTGATGGAGCTGTTCCGATTCGGACCGATCCGACTTCCACTGCGGGCTCCTGACCGACCCCGACTCCGACTCCGACTCCTGGCTCGTTGCCACGACTCTGGGCGACTCTGACTCCGACTCCGACTCTGACTCCGACTCTGACTTCGACTCCGCACCCCTCGTAAGAAGTAACTGCTCACCCCTGCACCTGGAGTATGGATATCGTGCAAACGTGTATGGATATCCTGGAGTATGGATATGGATATCCACCGACAGAGCAGACATACAGACATTCTGTAAACGCCATTACACTGCCAATACCATGGCAAATCAAATGGCTATCTATGGTTTTTGATCATTGTTCTACGTTTTCCAAAATCTTGAACTGAATGTTGGCAATTTCTCGTGACTACTTCACGACCATGACGCATGCATTTCTGAAATTGATCTTTTTTCAACCAGCCAGGTACTCGTATGATAAAATGAATGTCACCATCGTGTTCTACGCCCAAAAGTACCCATAAAACATGTGTCATGCATGGGCTGCGAATAGGTACCAGTTTTAATTTTCGGGGTTATGTGCTTACCTGATTGACCTGACTTTGACCCTGGCCAGTGGCCTATGTTTGACTGACCCCTACATTGATCTGACACTCTTTTAGCACTTATATGAAGGGTTGTGACAGTTGTGACAGTTGTGACAGATTGTTTAGGACCAACTGATGACTGAATTTATTTAGGACCAACTGATGACGATATATTCGAAACGCGAAACGCGAGGCACCGATTGCGAGGTTCTAAAGTCCATGCTACTGAAAGCCCGATTTCAAGTGTTTGACCTGACTTTGACCCGACCTGTGACCTCGAAATTCAGCTTTAAAGTATTCATGTGAATCGTCTCGTCGCGTTCTTCTTTCGTTTGCCGCGCCTCGTGCGTTTCGCTGCGCCTATTTGTTCGCGAGTTATCGGCTGGGGGCGTTGAACGCCTCCCCCCCCCCCGGCAAACG